TTCCGTTCCTTCCCTCCCGGTTGCAAACGCCCCTTTTCTGGGCTCTGCGTCAGAGCTTCGACCCTGCGAAAGCCCCCTTGCCATGGGCATCGGGCTGTCCCCCCCCCACCAGCGCTGCCCTGGCCTGGCTGGTGGCAATGACCCTCCCCATCTCTCTGCAGAGCCCGAGCACGAGCTGTTCCTGGTGTACGGGAAGGGGCGTCCGGGCATCATCCGTGGGATGGACATGGGAGCCAAGGTGCCGGATGAGCACATGATCCCCATCGAGAACCTCATGAACCCCCGCGCGCTGGACTTCCACGCTGAGACCGGCTTCATCTACTTCGCCGACACCACCAGCTACCTCATCGGGCGCCAGAAGATCGACGGCACGGAGCGAGAGACCATCCTGAAGGACGGTGCGTGGCTGAGGGTCCCTCCCCAGGGCTGTCAGCCCCCCGGGAGCTGGCAGCAGTGGCCGGCAGCGCGTTTCCTCGCCTAATGGCAGCGCTTCCGTCCTCTCCCATGCATCTTTGACCCTTGAAGCCAAGGTTTGAAGCTGCTGTTTGGGTTTATCTGTAGACTGCTGTTGAGAGACAGGCACAGAGCACGTGCCCCAGCACCCCCCTGCCCCTGGGGGTCCCCCTCCTGCCCAAGCTGGCCCACCCCAACCAGTCAGGGTCCCTGAGACTCTGTGGTGGCCAATCCGTGCCCACAATTGTGTTGACGTTGCCTTGGGGCAAACCAGCCAAGGATGTTCTTGAAGTTGGCTTTCTCCAGCCCAGGCCCCCGTGGCCGCGGTCCCTTGGGGGGAGCTGCCTGTGCTGGGGCAGGTCGGTCCCTCTTGCTTTGAGTTGGGGTTGGGTGGTGCCAAAGGCGCCGTGGATCATACGGTGCTGCCTCTGCCCTCGTGCGCCCCCGCAGCCCGGGTGATGGGCTCCCTCTCCTGCTTTTCCCCCCCAAGGTATCCACAATGTGGAAGGGATCGCCGTGGACTGGATGGGGAACAACCTGTACTGGACTGATGACGGCCCCAAAAAGACCATCAGCGTGGCTCGGTTGGAGAAGGCCGCCCAGACGCGGAAGACGCTGATCGAGGGGAAGATGACCCACCCCCGGCCATCGTGG